TTTGCCAGTTTCCTAGGGGCATTCTGAAAAGGCTCAAAATGGGCATGTTATCCCATGGCTGACTAAGCTTTCAGTGACTTACCCAGACCTAGCCTTAAGGTTAAATAATGGAATGGGGTTGTTTAGCTCCCTGGGCATGTGAGGGGTGTCCGTGGGCTTAGCACAAGTTCACATATCCTTGGGGCAGTTATAGGACCTTCAAAACCTCATACTCCTGGGATGATGGCATATATTGCCACTACCTCTTCGAGCAGTCACCAGTGGCAGTCTACCACCTCTCTTTCCTGTGGTTGCTATGGTGATATTAACGTCATAGTTGCCAGCAGGAGCAAATGGGGTACGGAGGTTGGCATAAGCCACAAGTAACAGCAAACCCCCAAATTCTTCACCAGCTAAAGTCCAGCAGGAGGCTGATGGAAAGGCAGAACCCAGTGATGGTAAAAACACTCATCCCCTTCTGAGCTCCTGAAGATGACCAGCTGATTTCCTCTTAACAGGTGTACTTTTTAGGACAATGATTGTCAAACTTTAATATACCTATGAATCTCCTATCTTCTTAAAACATAGATTTTGATTCCTGGGGGAGGGATCTGATATTCTGTATTTCTAAAAGCCCCCAAGTGATGCTGCTGCTGCTGCTTGTCCCTGGATGGTACTCTGAGTAGCAAGGTCTTTAGGCCTGGTTGCTTGTAGCAGAGCCCCTAATTAGTGTGTCTTAAACCAAACACATGTTTATTTTTCCTTCATGTAACCCTGCTCAGGGGCACAGGCTCCTTCTATCGTGTTGCTGTGCCATGTCTGATTTGTTGCCCTGGTCTGCAGTCTGTGCTGGACTCATTTCTGTATCTGCAATTTAACCTGCAGGAATGGGGAAAGGGGATGGAATGTCCCTATCCATATACTGCACATTCCATTTCCATTCCCATTCCTTCGGCTAGAATTAAGTCACACGGCCACATCTAGCCCCAAGTCAAGCTGGAAACTGCATTTTGTTCTGTGTTCCCATGTGCCCAACTAAAAACTCTTATTAGTAAGGAAAGAGAGAATGCCTGTGTAACCATCTCTGTCACAGTTGGGGATAAAAATTACAGTGAATGTTATTGAGTACTTCCTATCTGCCAGGCATTATACCTTAAACGATTACCTCATTCAATCTTCACAGAATACAAAACAAAAAACAGGTGGTAGGCACCTGTTATTCTCATTTATGGATAAAGAAACTGAGGCTTAGAGAAGTCACTTGGTCACGGTCACACAGCTGATTTCAATGCAGGCATTTGGATTCGAGCCTGGACTCTTAGAAGCAAAGGAAGGACCTTCCGGTGACAAGAGGCAGAACTGGGGTAGTCTCTACACTCTGGGGTCCCACAGCAGTGGGAGGGAGGCCATGAGTCTTAACACCAGCCACCCTTCAGGGTTGACTTCAAGCAAAGAATTCTGTGGGTTCCCATGGGAAAGGTGATGCTTACCTGAACAGTTCATGCACTGATTTGCAAAGACAGAAAGCTGAAGGCAGAACAGTTACTCTTCTTCCAGTTTTAAGATTTGTGACCTTAGGGGCTTATTCCCAATTTCAGCCCCATGACTGGTCCCAGGCTAGTCCAGACTTGAGAAATGGTTTGTGGCCTGCTGCTCTTCTGTCCCCTTAGGCTCACCACTTCCTCTTACAGATACCACCCTATCTGGTACTGTTATCTTAGGAAAGCCACAGCTGGCCAGGACCAGACGGGGCCACTTCTTCATGTCATAGTCACAAGTTAGAGGACATTTGAAAACTGTTTTTCAGGGGTTTGTTCTTTTTTTTCCCTTCTCCTTTTCATGAAAGGGGCTTTTTGTTAATACAGTCTTTGTTTGGGGATTCAGTTGATAAAGGGACCATTTTATTAGACTGAATTACTGACGCAAGTGCTGCCAGAAAATCTTCGCCAGGCCAGCACTCCAGCTTTTATTCAGCAAGGTGAATGAAAACAACTGTTGGGTGGCAGTCTCAAGGGCAGTTTGGAGTTTGCTGCCATCAGCAACTTGGGATTGTTTGGTTACTGGTTGATGTAGAGATGAGGGGAGCTAGTCAGGGAAAGTACTAGAGATAATCTTACTAAAACATGGGTTCTCTCTTTATATATGAAATATGTCAATTGGTCATGCTGGTCCAGGAGTTATGTAGAGTGAACTCTTTCTACGTAAAACCCCAAACCTGCTGTGATCGAGTGGATTCTGACTCACAGCAATCCCGTGTTTTACAGAGTAGAACTGCTCTACAGGGTTTTCTTGGCTATCATCTTTTATGGACACAGATTGCCAGGCCATTCTTCTGTGGTGCCACTGGGTGGATCTGAACTGCCAACTTTTAGGTTAGTAGCCAAGAGCAAACCATTTGGGACCAGCCAGGGACCTGAACTCTTCCCACCTATTGTTAAATTACTAAATCTCCATGACTAAGAAGAGGTCCCCGTAATGATTTTAATTCATCCTTCTGAAGTCCCGAAAACAAAGTCAAATGGTCAAAAGTAAACCAGGTTCTCTCAGACTTTGTGGGGTTTACTCAGACATGGAATGTTAAAGCTACTTTTAATTTTCTGCAGAGCGGTGCTCAAGAGGCTTAGGAGAAAGCTCCGAAGACACTAATAAGCCAAAACTTGTACACGGAAACTAGCTAGTTTGTTTTCCCTCATGTCTGGTGTGTGCGATGCCAACACAAACTCACGTGCCCACGTGGGCCAACGAGTTACCTCTGGGCCCACAGCTCTCTCATCTGCTGTTTCCTTGAGATTCCAAGACTCAGTCTATTTAAAGTCTGCTAAATGACCCAACATTTCTTAGGCAACTTTTAAAATATTAAACTGCTATTTGCAAACAGTGGCATGAAAATTGGCACTTAAAGCAATTGACCGTAAACTATTCAGAGTTCAAGGAAATCATTAAGAGCTGATGAAGTCAATAGAAATATGGGTAAGAAGAAAAGTACCCGCTAATACTGTCTGAAGGCCTCTACCACCAATCAGTTTTAAGTGATTGAACCCCAAGTACTGCATAGGAAACAGGTACCCACAGGCAGCACTGCTTGGGCAAGGCTGCAGTGGTCAAGCTTTGAGTGCCGCAGACCCCAGCTCCTACAGAGCAGCTCTGCTCTGACCACCACGCTAACCAGCGAGAGTCCTGCCACTTCTGCCCTTCACAAACAATATGCATTTGCTTTAAGAAAAGCAAGAATTGCAAGATCTGGCCTGTTAACCACATAAATACGACACATGGAGACCCTCTAAAAATGCCGTACTAATTTCAGGTGGTGGTTTTCCTATGCAGGAAGAACAGGGCCCTATGTGGCTGGTGGGAAGGAAATGTCCAGGGTTACAGGCAGGGTTTATAAGAGCAAAACTTCCCTGAACCTCCTCTTTGACTAAGTTTGCCCCCACCCTCAACACTGTTCACTCACACAGAACCTTGTATACCTTATTACAGTTGTAATTACTTGTGTAATTGCTTATCTCCCCCAATTTGCTATAAAGCAAACCCCACCCCCTGCAGGCAGGGACTGTGACTTAGTCCAGTGTTGACTCCCCAGTCCTAGCTAGCACTGGCTGGACATGAAGTAGGTGCATAATCAATGTTAGTGAATAGATGAATGAACGCAAAAAGGAATGGAAGATGTGTATATGGAAGAGCATTCGCTTGCATCAAAATTTCATGATTGTCCTCTGTCTCATTTTCCAAATCAGGAGGAGGGAGGAAGACCAGGATGCTGGAGCTGGGGTCAGTTCTTAATTCAGCCACAGTGGCTGTAACCGTTTCTATCAGTGATAAAGACTTCTCGGAGTATTACAGGCTCTACTGCAGGCAAAGATTCACCTACACTTTTCACAGGCCATTCCCCCCACGGTTTAGTATTTGTGAGAAAGGCAAGGAATTTCTTAATTTCTGAGATGGATTTAGATACATTCCAAAATGTCGGCAGTTTGAACCCACCAGCTGCTCCTTGGAAACTCTATGGGCTGGGTCTACTCTGTCCTATAGGGTCGCTATGAGTCAGAATCAACTCGAAGGCAATGGGTTTGGTTTCTTTTTAAGTTAGATAAAAAAGGAAGATGATATCTATACGGTGCATTCTGTCAGCATTTCCCCGGACACGACCCACCTAGATGCAGACAAACACCAGAAATACAGCCTGTCACTGAAATGAACAAGGAAAGTCAGAGTTTTCTACATCAATGAACTGTGGGTCCTATTTCTTCCTACCACCACAGAAACAGTGAAAAGGGCAAGAAATGATGACACTTGCTTTGATTTTTCTGAGCTCTTCCAAATGGTGATATTGGAAGGTTGCTAACCATTAAGTCATTAAAAATTTTATTTTTGTTATAACTTAAGATACTTTATTTTTAAAAACTTCCTGTTTATTGTCAACCCTGTATTATTGATTAAAAATGTACCACATAATCAGGACTCCAGATTACACAAACTAGTCACTATTAAGGAGTGTCATTTTCTTTGGTTTTTCCTTGTCACTATTTATCCTTAACAAACAAATCAAAATCCTGAGCAATCTACACACCTTTACTGCATTCTAGGCCTTCAAGAGTATCTATCCAGCACCACCAGTGGCCATCGAGTCAACTCTGACTCATGGCGACCCCACGTGTCAGAGTAGAACTGTGCTCCATGGGGTTTCCAATGGCTAATTTTTTGGAGGTAGACAGCCAGCCTTTGTTCAAAGATGCCTCTGGGTAGACCTAAACCTCCAACATTTCAGTTAGCAGCCTAGTGTGTTAACTGCCCCACCCAGGAAACTCCATTTCAAGAGTATAAAAGCTATTTTCAGCAGCAGCAGCAATACTTCCAGGACAATATTTGTAAGATGTGCTTTAAATCAAAAGGGAAAGAAATCCATATTTCAGCAAATTTAAATTTACAAGTTCCAACCTGGTGTCTACTTTAGTAGTCTGAGTTAAAGGAATATTGCACCAATTAACCCAAGCAAATCAAGACACCCCCAAAACAGGTGATATAGTAAGAAAATGTCAATTTAATCATTTACTGTAGCAGGCAAGCATTTGTAAACATTCAGCAGCGGCAACATCCAAGTTACAAACAATTTAAAAAGAAACCAAGATTAGTGATTATAATTTTTCCTTCCCTTTCCCCAAAAGAAAAAAAAAATTCGGAAATGAAGGACTTAAAACACTACAAACATTGAACATTCAGTTATGTCTCCTATCAGCCTTCTATGCATCCTCTCAGTGTTTTATTTTTAAAGATGTATCTACTCCTAAAACACATTATCTTGCAATAACTTGTACGTGAGCATTTGCAATCTAGGAAGTTGTGCCTGCACGTGGGTATGCACGTATTAGCTCAGTTTAAATTCCATTTGCAAAGGGAACATTTATGTCTTGATTCAGTGCTTCTTTGACTTCAAGTGGCAGGGTGTCAAAAAGGTGATCTTCCACAACAAGCCCGCTTTTCTTGAGCAGTCGACACTGGCCCAGCTGGGCTGGTAGGCGGTCCAGGCAGTTGCCCTTCAGCTCCAGCTGAGTGAGCTGGGAGAGCTGACCAACTTTCTCTGGGAGGGAGGTGATGCAGTTTTGCCCCAGGTTCAAAGTCCTCAACTTCACGCACTTAAACAACTGTTTTGGCAGAATGTCCACTTTGTTCCCAGTGATATGCAAATGCTGCAGGTTCTGAAGCAATCCTATTTCTACTGGAATCATTGAAATGTTGTTATAGCTTACATCTAAGCATCGGAGTTTCTGTAAACTAAACACTGCCACTGGTAAGGATTCGAGCTTGTTGTTAGAGAAATAAAGTGACTCCAAGTTTTTGACATGGGTAATGGAGGGAGGAATGGCAACGATTTTGTTATGCCATAATTTTAAACAAGTCAGTCTTTTTAAATGCTGGAAACTGATGATTTCCTCAATTGTGCGTATGCTATTGGATTTTAAATCCAGTTCCTGTAAATTAGAGAGGCTGAAAATAGCATGTGGGATTCTCTCTAGCTCACAGTTCTGGAGTTCTAACTCGGCGACATTCATCATTTTCTTAAGGCTGTTCAGTACCAAGAGTTTAGTGCCGTCATTATGAATGACTAACTTTGTAAGATGTGGTGCCACATCTGTAATGTTGGAGGGAACTTTGGTCAAATTGCTCTTCACATGGAGAACCTTAAGATGCCTCAACTCTCGGAGAGATTCAAGTCCTATCATCTTATTGTTTTCAGAGTTCAAATTGCCAATCAAGTACAACTCTCGAAGGTTTTTGAGCAAATATACCCAGGCAGGAATTTCAGCCACATCAGTGAACTTCACGTGAAGGCATCTCAAGTGATCGCGGAGAAAACTAAAAGCAGTCTGTTCAACTTTTGCAGGGCAGTGGCAGAGGTGAAGCTCTTGGAGATTGGTCATTTGAGAAATCTTAGCAGGTATTTTAGCTTCTGGAATCAGTTCAAGTTTTAGCACATCCAGGTCTGTGAGGTCAAAGACAGCATCGGGCACACCTGACAGCATGAACAGATGTAACTCCTGCTTGTCTTGGGCATTGCGGGACACGTGCTGCCTAAGCTTCTCAAACGTCCACTCATGGTTCAAACTAATTTCCCTCAGTTTATTTTCACTGACTTCTGACAGGAACACACCAAAACGCTTCGAGTATAGTTGGTCATACTGGTCTACCATGTGTAGAAGGAATGCAAAATCGTTTTTGACATCTGGAATGTCACTGAAACTGCTCTCTTCTCTGACTTTTTCAAAAGAATATTCTTTCAAAGGTATCCTGAATAACCAGAACAGAGTGTAGAGGCAGATAAAACCATACACACAAATAATGGAGATGTAACTAATGAGGAGCTTTTTCAACATGTAAGCCATATTGTGGGTGCACTGAAATACCTCATACCCAGTCAGATGCTCAACTTTTAGCTCGCAGACATGTTCAAAGCTGATTGCGTTGACGAAGTTTGCAGTATAGCAGAGGATAAAAATGAACTTGGCTGTTTTGATAACTGTTTGGACCACATAGAGTTTATAGATCAAGTCACTGTCTTCCACATGGGCTCGGAATTTCCTCACCTTCTCAAACAGGGCTTTGGCCTGTTCCCCGTCTTTTTTATCCAGGATGGTCATGCTGGGGACTTCGATCACAGGCTTCTCAGCTGAGAATTTGAAGCCAGTTTTGTTGATCATCGGGGTGCTGGCACTGGGGCTCCCTTCATCACTGCTGGTAGACACGTGCTTTGGTAAAGTCTGAGCACCTGTTATTCTCTGTTTGTTCTCCTCTGAGTCTTCACACGCCGTCTCAGACAACGCTTTAGTCGTCCAAGGAGATTCAAAGCACTTTCCTAGTATTGAAACAAAATGTTCTACTTTTGAGCATGTTTTGGGATATTTGAACCAAAAGTTGCTACTGACCATGAGAATAATAGTATGTATAAGAGCAAGGTACGGAAAGTACTTAGAATACCAGGGGAGGGCCAGATGGTAACACATCTGATTAATAAATACATATTGCTGAAAATCCAAGTTTGTTTTTCGGCCTGTTGGGTCTTTCTTCTCTTTCCTTGCCTCCTGACTGGGAACTGTGGGATCTGTACGAGGATATGTGGCTCTGAGAGGTACGTCGGGTGTCACAGCAGATGTGCCAAAGGAAATGTCATTTGTTGCCCGCCCATCTTGGTCTTGGTCAGTGGCTGCTTCTGTCTTTGGGATGTCGGTGGTAACGTCGTGTGCCTTTGAATTTACAGGAGTTGGCAACATTGGCAAGCAGACCACCTGATCTTTGGTAAGCTGCATGGTTCCTGCAAAGATGGCTACCATCAACATAACGACAGCCAGGTAATCCATAAACACATCCCACCATGGTTTCAGGATTCGGTAAGTTGGCTGGATGTCATTAAGTGAAGCAACTTCTGCAAGGGTAAACATTCCTAGAAAACAAGCAAACAAAAGACATTATTACAAAGATGCAAGTGAAAACATTAAATAAGAAAAACCTTTGACTTGCTCCACACTAAATAAAGTTGGCTCATCCAGGTCCTATCTTTGTACCTAAGATAAGTGTAGTATTAATAACCTAAAAGGGACACGGTAGTTTTCCTCTTCTATCCAAGAAAGAAAATAACAATAACCAAGTGGGGAGTAAGGATTACATTCTAGGTAAGAAATAATGATAGCCTGCACAAAGTCTATTAACAGAATAGAACGGAAGGGAAAGATCTGAGAGCTATTTAGGAGACAGAATTGATAGGACTTGTAACTTACTGGACCTTGAAGGAGGATATGAGAGCAAAACGGCATTTGTTGTGGACTGGTTTATAAGGTTAACACTGAAGTTTTCAGGCGGGGGTAGACGACTTCAATTCTGTATAAGCCAAAACTGAGGTGTCTGGAGATACTATTAAACTATAGACAGCCTGTGTATCAGACTCAGTCCTATTACTTACTAACGGTGTGATTCTCTAAGCCTTGTGTTTCCCATCTGCACAATGGGGATGATGACTTCTCAGGGTTGTTTCAAAGGTTAAGTTACGCCTGCAAAGCTCTTACACGTGCCCTGGCCCCAAGGAAGCACTTGATTTACGTTAACTCTTATTACCCAAGAGGAGTAGGGAGGGTAACAAGCACCCAGGGGCAACCTCTAAGTTTGCCCCACCTCATCTACAGGGGTAAGGGGGTAGGGATGGTGATTCAACGGCCAGCCTTATCTGGCCCCCCCTTGGACTTGTGCCCAGGGACAAACGTCCCCCTGTAACCACCTCTCCCTACACCTCTGTATCAACCTGGTAGAAACATCTCATGGACAGTTAAAACTAAGTGTCTAGAGTTTAAGAGTTTGAGAGGAGTCAGAAAATACACACTTGGGATTTGTTAATAAATGTAGCTGAAACTCTGGCCTTTGATGGAGCATCCATGGAAAATGTGTGAGATGAGAAGAGGGCCAAAGATACAAGTGGGCGTGAAATCATCAGAAATGATGATTCTGAGCAAGTCACGACCAACAAGGCCTTTGAAGTCTACAAAAGCAGATGACTCTGGCAGCACTGAAAGAAGCCCTGGTGCCAGGACACTCAAAATTGTGGTCAACATTCACTCCAGCCAGTAGCTTTAGAGTCACGAAACTAGTTTATATGAATAAAAAAGTACAAGGACAATCAAGTTGGAAGTAACCAAGAAAAACACAAAGTTTATAGTGGCAAGTAATGGGCATGGGCTTTTGTAATCATGTACTCGAACCAAATGTTCATCTTGAATTTAGAAGTTTAACTTCTCTGTTTGAAAAAGCAACCTCACCACATTCTGCTTTCTCAGAAAGTTCTATGGTTCCAATACTCATATGTAAAATGATGAACAAAAAACCAATAGAATACTTAAAAAGGCAAGGCAAGTACCCAAGGTACTGGGAATGCATTTATGTTTTAAAGAAAGGATGGCGGACAGATTTTTGTCTATCTATGTAAAAGTTGCCTGGAGTGCTCTGTTGCGAAAGATTCTGGGCTGACTTCAGGCTCAGGAGAAAACAGCGTCTTCCTTGGACGACAAAGTAAGAGCGTGGCAGCATTAGTACTATGATCCTGCTCTCTGTTTTAAATTAAGTCCCTAAACGCAAGGCTCACATTTTTTGTGAAACCCTCCTACATACCTAGTACTGTATAGAGCAGGTGTATAATATTTCTTAATAACATAGAAATATCTTTTCAATTGTAATAGCAATTCTCAAATGAGTAGTGTTTTTGTAAGTGAAATCTCTCTTACATAATCAGGAAAACACAAGCCTGAAGACTCTACAACATATTTAAACTACTGAGTTGTACTTAAATTTTGTGAAAATTGCTAGAAACTACATTCCCAGATTTCAGTGCTTAAGCATGAAATGACTGGCATCCAGTCTCTGTAGAAATTACCAAGGAAGTGAGGAAAAAGAAACATTTGCACCTCAGTAGGCACAGCGGGAGATAACCTGTCCACTCCCATCCCTTTTATTCTGAGGTCCTGCATATTGTGTGCGTTTTGCTTTCGTGAGTGGCTTGGGGATTTAAGCAGGAAGAAAAGCTTTTGGAATGTACAGTAAGCCAAACTAAATAAGAAACAGTTCAACCATATGTCATATGTTGTTTGAGCTCTTCAGTCCCTATCGAGAATGCACAAAAGACAGCACCAAGTCAGAGGTCAGAGACCACATATTACTTCATGCATAGAGACTGGAGGAATATGCTTTGCACAGGGTTATTCCTGGCAAAAAACTCTGTATGGTCATACCCACGGACCACGATTTTAAAGGGCCATCTGTATGGGTAATGAAAATAGAATTTTTCCACATAACACTTCTTTCCAATCAGATTTTTCTTTAGTCTTCATACAGCTGCAGTGTGCTCTAGAGAAGCCAGAACGTTTGGATTGGAGGATTGAGGGAGAAGTAAATTTTAAAAGTTACTGTACTGAGAAACCCTAAACAGGCAGTTCTACTGTGTCCTATAGGGTCACTATGAGTCGAAATCAACTTGAAGGCAATGGATTTGGGTTTTTTTTTTTTGGTACTGAGAAAGCTGGTTACTTGTATTTTGAGCCTTAATTATATTACACTGGTCTCCCTGCCTCTGGCCTTAACCGTCTCTAATCCATTTCCACCCTGCAGCCCTTAAGATGAAAGTTCACCATTTTCAATGTGGTTTAGACCAGTGCGTCTCAAAACGTTAACATGCATGCAAATCACCTGGGGAATCTTGGAAGAATGTGGATTCTGATAGTAGGTCTGGGATGGGGCTGAGATGCTGTGTGCTTTCAAGCTGTCAAGTGATGCTGATGCTCCTCAGACTACCCTTGGATTACAAAGGTTTACTTACAGCAGCGGTTCTCAAACTCCAACATGCGTCAGAATCACTTGGAGGGCTTGTTTAAACACAGATTGCTGCTAGCTCATCCAGAAAGTTTCTAATTCAGTAGGTCTGGGGTAGGGCTTTTATTTTTTAACAAGTTACTAGGTGATGACAAAGGTACAGGAATCACACTTTGAAAGCCATGCTTTTAGAAGATCTTTCTAAAGTACTCACCTCCCTGCCCCTATCTCTCCTCTCCAGACTCCCTATGGTCTAGGCTGATAACTTCTTTTAGTTCCTCCAACAAGCCATACTTATCCTTGTGCTCAGCCTCCCACCCCCGCACAGTTTCCTCTGCCTGGAATACTTTCTCCCAACCCCCCTTTAAGTTTAGATGTCGCCTTTCCAGGAAGTCTTCTCCGTCTGGGTGAAAGGCTTCTCTGTACTCCCACGGCACTTTGTACCTCCCCCTATCATGCCCCTCACTGCATTGTAACAGAATTGACTGCTTACTGGTCTGATGCCACACTAGAGTAAAAAGAAAGGAGGGCAGAGATCATGTCTACCTTGCTTATTGTTATATATCCAATGCCTGACACAGAGTAAGCGCTCAATGAATGAAAGAATGTATGTCACCTTGACCATCTTTGGCATCATCATCATCAAATTCCTCAAGAACATTTATTAACTGTCTACATATGGTATTGGGCAGACGAGCACTTTATTAAACTTGATTGCCACCACAAAGTAACCAGGGCCTATGCAAGAATAAAAAATCTAAGCCAGGCCTCAGTGTAAAAATAAATAGCTAAAGGACCACAGCAGAGCAACTGTGGGATCCTTGTAACCAGTAATATTTTACAGCTGTTAAAGCTTCAATGGTGGTTTTCAAGCACTTTGTACTTAGTATAGACGTTGATCCCAGGAGAGAGAAGAAAGGCGCTGACCACCTTCCCAGCGGAGAAAAAGAAACCTAAAAAAAAGGTGGTGGCAGAGAACAGGGTGATGGAGTGCTGTACCTTCACATGGACATCAAATAGTTGCCAGCTTGGTCCCCTCAAGTTCTCTGCAAGGATAATAATGCCCGAACCACCAACAACAGCATGTAACCAACTCCACCCTCAAGTGAGCACTTCAGCTCATTGTCTACTCTGCAACCCCTACCAAGGGTTTTGTGTCCCTGCCATTTCCTCTAGCCCATTTCCCTTTTTTCTTTCTGTTGAACTCTTATTCTTCAAGACCCAGCTCAAGCACTACGTCCTTCCCCTAACTCCTATCACAATGCCTAGTAATGTTTTCCAAGTTGGCTTCTTCAATGAGATATTGAGCTCCCTGTGGGCAGAGTCTGTGTCTTATTCCTCTTTGTATCCACCACACCACTCTTCCCTCACCCCCTAAAAATACAGAAGGCATTTAGTGATAATAATACCTAATAATAACAGCTATCATTTGTCATCTGCCTTCCCTATACCAAGGACTGTACTAGGCACTTTACATCTGATGCAATCCCCTGCTTTTGTACAGAGTGCATTCCTGATAACGACTGTATGAAAGTTTAGAGCTTCAGGTATTGGGGGTTGAAGGAAAGGTTTCATTTCCCAAATGTTACAAAATACTATAAAACCCACCAGAATGCCTAAAATTAAAAAAGATAATACCAAATGCTGGTGAGAATTGCTACTGGAACTCTAAAACACTTATGATGAGAGTGTGAATTGGAAGAACCATGTTGGGAAACTTTTGAGTAGTATCAACTAAACTGAACATATGTATACTCTGATTTAGCAATTTCACTCCTAAATATATACACAAGAGAAAAACATATACTCATTAAAAGACATGTACGAGAATGTTCATAGCAGCACTACTTGTAATAGCTCCAAACTAGAAGCTATCCAAATGCTCAAAAGTAGAAAACAGAGAAAAATGACATGTGGTATACTCATAGAATGGACTGTCAGAGGCAGCAAGGAGAATGAATGATCTGGTGACATGGGTGTTTTAGTTCATAAAATGTGCTGTCTACATTTACGATATGTGCTTTTTTTTGTATGTATGCTTTCCTTCAATAAAGTTTTAAAAAGAAATGTGGTTGAGAAGCTACCGCAGAAACA